TTAACCTGGACTTTTTGTGTGCAACTACTTTAGCTTCAGTGGAAAAGTTCTTGGAAGTGTGAAATAGTACTCTCCAGGGAAAGCTTTGAGTTGTGGATTTGGAGACTCTTACTTGGGGTGCTTTTGGTATATAGAAGCAAATTGTATGTAATGTAAAATTCAGTGTTGTTTTTTTCTTTTTGTGGTTTTTATTTATTACTATGCATTTTCAGTACATAATGATTATTTTCCTCATGGGAATTCATACATGTACATAACACATCTCAATTTTATCCTCTGTCCTTTCCCTTCCTCCCCCTTCCTCGATCTTTTGGTTCCATTTTTACATGAAAAAGATCTTATCTCCCTGTTACTATTTCCTGTTATTGATCTATTTCCTGTTACTGATCTTTTATTTGACTCTTTTATGTGTTGGGTTTCTCATGTAAGAGAAACCATGCTTGAATTTCTTATATTTCAGTTAACATCATTGCTGTGCATATACTCCACTGTTTTGAAAACTCTTTTATTATTATTTTTTGAGATAAGATCTTGCAATGTAGTTTAGGCTGGCCTTGAATGCACTCTAGAGCCCAATCTGTCTCTGAACTCATGGTACTCCTCCTGACTCAGCCTCCCAAGTGCTAAGATACAGGTGTGCACCACCATGCCTGGCTTCAAAACTATTTTAATCAACCCAAGTAGAAATTGTGTAAACAGTAGGCGATAAGTCCTCTTTCTTCCCTCCATGTAGCCCTCGGTAACCTCTAATGTGACTTCTGTCTCTATAAATTTTAGATAATTCATAAATGTGGACCTGAACAATATTTATCACATACATGTATCTGGCTTATACCACTTGGCATAGTTTTCAAAGTTCATCCTTGTTGTGACATATAACTGATTTCTTTTTATGACTGAATACTATTTCATTGTTTGAAGGTTTCATCTTTTAAAATCCAATCATCCATTATGGACATTTAAGTCGATCTCATCTTTAGAGACTGTGGATAATTCTACTATTAATATGAGTGTACCGATATCTGTTTGAATCCGTTTTCAGTTCTGCAGAGTATATAGCTAAGAATGTGATTGTGGTATCATATGACAATTTCTATGTTTAACTTTTGGAGGAACTGCTATGCTGTTTTCTACAATAGCTGCCTCACGTCACATCCTCACCATCAGTGTGTGAGTGTTTCAATTTACCAGAAGGCTTGTTACTGTTTTTGCTTCCGTTTCAGCAGCCTTCCTGGTTTGTGAACTAGTCCATCATCAGCTCTGATGTGTCTGTTCTTAGGAATTACACGTTGGTATTTGACCTAATGTACTCCAGGTTTGATACTCCCTTTTCTCACCCACCTTCCACCACCAGTGTACAGACGTGGACCGGTCCCTCTTCTGGGGCCCCAGAGACTCTCTAAAAGCCTGTTCCATTCTGCAGGTTCCCTTGCTCTTCTCTACAGATTTTCTAATTCCCTTTAGATTTTCAGCCCACATGTTCAGTCCTTCCTGCCACATCCCCTCCTGCCAGGAGCAATTCTACATAATTTTGGGGAAAAATAATTTCACAATTAAATTCTGATTAGGCCTAGTTCTGCTGCCTACAGGCCAGCTATGGCATGTCGAGACATAACTCCACTTTGGCCTCCAGTCACAGCTGAAACGTCAATGGACTGGTGATACCGTCACTCTCCAGGACAAGATTACACCACATCCTGGGGGGAACAAAACTGTTCACACACACACACACACACACACACACACACACACACACACACACACCTCTGAACCATCTGTTACATTTGTTATTTCCAGAGTACCAAATAAAGGTGCGGCAGGGTGGGGGATTTATCTCAGTAGCTCCACCACCTGCTTTGAAAGTGACAGGGCCACAATCTGATCCCTGGTACAAAATTGGAAAAAAAAAAAAAAAAAAAAAAAAAATGTGTGGCAAGCTCAGGGTTGTCCTCTTTGTACCCAGAGCAGCATTGATCAGGCCCAAAGCTCAGCTTCTTCTCTAAGTCTCATTTTTCTCTCTTTTCTGACTAATAATTAATTCACCTGTGCTGTCTGGGCTCTCAGGAGACTAGGACTTACTGCAGAGGTTCTGGTAACGTCCCCTTTCCCTGTTCCCTGTATTTTCCCATTCCCTAGATGATCTTGGGGAAACTCAGATTCCTAGTGAGTCCACAGAGCAAAATAAATCTCCAGTAGGAACTGGAAAGATCTCTTTTGAAATAAGGTAAATATATAATATGACCTGAGACTGTCATGTTAGAATTTTCTTCCCTTATTCAGCTGGAAAAATAATTTTTCTAATTCAAGTGGTTTCTAGAAAGAGAAATCTTCTTCAAATAAGATTTTCTTTCTTTCTTTAGATAAGTTTGAGGCTTCATATTGCTCTCTGTGCATTTCCATGGACTCAGAGTCCAGGGCTGAGGGGGCAGCTGAAATTCAAGTGCCAGCCTGACCAAGGAGAGGCATAAAGATGAAGCCGCAGAGGCATCGTGGCTCACAGGGTGCTTGGTGAGACACTGAGCTGTGCCTGTGCACGATGTGACTCCCTAGGGCTCAGAACTGGCTACGGTGGGTGGGTGGTATTAGAACTCCTAGTCCCCAGGAGATGACTCCTCCTTGAACAGCCTAAACTGGCTCAGTGGAGACCCAGAAAGGCCCCACCTCAGGAGTGACAGGGGACCTAACAGTGGCCTCTACTTAGACTACAAACTCACCCTCTTCTCCCATGAGGGATCCTCATTCTGACCTCTCTCCGAGTATTTTTCAGCTTTGTGTTTTGATAACTGCAGGTCAGTTTTTCAGAAGGAATTCACTATTGCCTCGGCCTGCTTTTTTCAGACACTCGGTGAGATTTGGGTCCTGCTGTGCTCCAGCCTTGCTGGTCCGCAGTGGGCAGTCCTTAGGGTAGGTAGGGCGTATGGGGGCAGGTCCCAGGTGAGCTCTCATGCTTAGCGTTCCTGAGGTGACATCCTTAACTCTTTGAGCTCCACGTGTGATATGAGTTCTTTAGAGATGGAGAGGAAAGTGGGGAACTGTAGGTGAGGGACAAGTCAAGGGTCGGGAGCAGGTGTGCAGAGGCAGCAGACGCCATGGTGCAAGGCTACCAGCAAAGTCACAGGGAGGAGGCACTTCCTCTGCAGAGACCGTCAGCGTATTCTTCCCCCTCAGAGTCCTGTGTGTCTCCTCAGCAGCCAAATCCCCAATTCTCCCATTCTGCAGATCCCAGGGGGCTGCTTAGGCTGCAAAAGGCCAGAGGCCTCTCTGGAGCAGCTGAGACAGGGGAGAAGGGCTCAAAGCTCCCCTTGAGCCATTTTCTGTTTCTTCCCTGGCTGCCCAGACACCTCACAGCCAGCCACAGCTGCTCTAGGAGACATTTGCTTTGGCTGCAGAAACCTTTTTCCTAAAGCCATTTGCAATGACTCTGGCCCTCTGCAGCTCCCCTCATTCAGGTATTCAAGAGGCCCCCCCTTGCCCATGATCAAACAGAAAGTCTGACACTGTGCTTCGGGCCTGGGCCTTTATTCTTTCATAAGCAATCTCCTCATGCCATTAGCTGTCAGTCTTCCTGCCTGCTCCCAGTGCTACAGGAGAAATCCTACAACAGCATCTTTTGAATGGAGATCTTTCCCTATGTCAGCTCCCCCACACACGAATGTGATGTGATAAATTCAGCTTTTCCCAGCTACCTGCTAAAATCTCCTGATTTCTAGTCCCTGTTAACTAGAATAAACCTTTCTTTTTTCTCACAACGAAGAGCCTGTTTATTTTTGACAAATGGATTCTTTATAACATAAGCAAGAGCCCTTGCAATGCTCAGCGTTGATGTACAACGCTAGTTGCAAAGATGCTCCTGAAAGAGCAACAAAGGCCAGGATGCCTGGGAAAGGTATGTCTAAGACTTTACATTTGCCAACTCAGCCAGCCCCTTTCCCGCGCCTTCACCTCCAACCTCTCAGCCTGACTGCCCGCTGTCCCTGCTGTGTTCTCAGTGGCCTAAATAAACGCTTGTCTTTTCCATATTCCTTGCTTCTTGGTAAACTCTGGGTGTCTCACACAGAAACGACAGCCGAGAAAGGAGGCGCGGCCTCTTTAAGAAAATCAAGTCCCCGCCCTTCGGAGGCGGCCGGAGTTCTAATTGTTTCACAGAGGTGGGCTGGCCAGGGTTCTGGAGGGGCGGCCGGGGAGAACCCGGAGGCGGGATTGTGAGAACTACACTACCCAGAACGCCGCGCATCACGGGCCAAGGCGCTGAGCCAATGAACGCCCATCGCTGGCTCCAAGGTCCGCTAAGGGGTCAGGGCGGGACTTCCGCCGTTGCTTCCGGGAGTCGTTTTGCTGGCTCTGTAGACCTGTCCTTCACCTCGCGTCGGGATCCTGGAGAGCGCTGTGGGCTGACCTCGCCTGGGGTCTTCCGCAGTTTTCCGGAGCTGGGCAGAGCAGCGGTGACAGCCGTG